TACATGTCAAACCAGTCCTCCAGAACTGCATAGTCTAAATTCACCAGGGAAATTCCAGCATTTGGTCCTCTCTTTGGTGCACTATCTGGAACAACATTCACGACCACATCAAACTCCCAGTCCAGCAATCCCAACTCCCAAATACCATTGCTGACCTCTGGAATCCTAATTCGAACACCTGGAACAACACCCTCATCAGTAACATCTTCACTGACTCAGCAACCCATATTATTTCACAACTGCAGCCGATCCCCTCTCAAGAGAAAGACATCATCCGCTGGACTCCTGCTCCAAAAGGCATCTGCACTGCCAAGGAGGCTTTCATCCACCTCAACTCTCAAAACCGAATCAATCTTCCCAACCTGGGATCCAGAAGCATTTCCAACCAAGCATTGCAAATCCTCAAAAGAACTTGGAAACACAAATCCATATCTCCGTGCATCAAAACCTTTGCTTGGAGACTCATAAGAAGGGCATTGGCCACAGGTGATCGAGCAGGAAGATACTCAGACAAGATAAGCAAACAATGCACCAACTGCAATGTCACTGAGATAGATGCTCACTTATTTTTCCACTGCTCGTTTGCTAGAGCGGTGTGGTTTTCAGCTAACCCTTCTTTATGTACCTCCTTTCTACCTACTGAACAGGATGGAGTGCAGGAAATTCTCCCCCTCATTCTCAATGGCAACACCACCGACGACCATCTGCAAGCTACGATGACCATTTTGTGGTACATCTGGAAAGCAAGGAATGACTTAAGGTTCCACAGTAAAAAATGGACAGTTTGGCAGGTACACAGCTGCACGGCGGAGGAAATCAGAACGTCCAATCTCTCAATGAATGCAGTTGTTCAGCAACATATGCCCCAAGGTATGAATGCTTCCCTTGCAGATCCACAGATGCAAAGCACAACTCCCCAAGCCAGGCCTCTCAGCGCATTCCAATCTGAACATCGTCCCCAACAGGACCGAAGGCAAACAAGCTCCACTACACCCCCAGGTATAAATTCGGCTTCCACAGGTACAAATGCCGCAGGCACAACAGAAGTCCAGCAGATGCGCAACAATGAGGAGCCAACACCTACACCGCCTCTTTACAGGATCACAATGCCTGCTCTTATAACAGGTCCAAGATGTTACACTGACGCATCCACACAACAAGACGCAAACCAAAGAACAATAAAAGATGCTGGCCTAGGTGTGTTCATGCTCAATCAACACATAAAGGGTCCCCAAGCCATCTTCATACAGGCGAAGGCAACAAACATGTCCTCAGTGCTCATGGCTGAGGCGGCAGCAATGACACTGGCCTCAAGGCTAGTCACAATCCTACAACTATAATCACCAACATATCTGACTGACAATCAACAGTTGGCCAGTTTTTTCAACTCCACCGACACCTCATCACCGCCGCAATGGGACATCAAGTTCTATATACAGAACTTCATCAATGAAAATTCAGGCAAGCCACAGGGTCTTCAAAGTTGCAAGGCAGCTAAACCAAACAGCGAACACGCTGGCAAAACAGGCTAGAGCAAACTCAAAACCCGATCCTCAACATATGTACTTCTCTTGTTCCAATCGTCATCATGTTCAATACTGCCCACTTCGGGCAGTTCTCTCCTCTGTACTTTGGGAGAATTTCTCCTTGTTGTCAGCCAAGTGCTGTTAATAAAATCTGTCTGTTATATAAAAAAAAGATCTTTTGCACTATAAACTTCCATGTGCCACCAACATAAAAGCATAATGATCCTTCTACTTTCTTCCAAATGGGGTGAGAGTATTTGAACACCCTTAATTAAGACAGATCATTGCTTGTGAAGCCTTTTCTCCTCTTGTTAATAGCTCTTCCTATAAAGTCCTCAACTCAAGGAAAGGTGAATGTAAATGCTTCACGATGAACAACCTTGCAATCTCCACCATCATCAAAGAAGCCAAATTCTAGTACTATCCAATGCTTTATCACAGAAAACAACATAATTCTACTCGTGAATGAGGAGAAATTCTAATCTAAGAGCTTGTAAAGTTCAGGCATAGTACTCGAAGTATCATCAATTGGAGGTTCCTTCGGATGTACAATATAATAAAGATCCATTTGTACCAATCTTTAAAGAATGATCAAACATAAATTCTCGGAGACTACTGATCTTCCAAACTAATGTCTGTCTCCATCCCTAGTAGCGCCGAAGTCACACCTCGTATACTCAATTTTGATCCGCTAAGTGAAACCTTTCGATTACAAGTCATTTATCGTAACTCTAATTTCCTATTTACTTCTAACCTACTTTGATTAACTAGCATTGCATCGTCAGCAAAAGGCATACAAAAAGGAATATCTCCTTAACATCCCTTGTGATCACATCCATCACTAACACAATATAGATAAGGGCTCCGTAGCTTCAAGTGACAGACAGCGGTGGAGTCTGACACGAAACCAAGGGAGGGCCAAACACAAAAGACCAGATGCTCCTAGTTTCTTGGCTGAAAATTTACTTGGGAATGGGATGGATTATGAATGAACTCTAGTAGAAACTGGTGTCTCTATACTAAACTGTACATATGGTCTTCAGTAATCTATTCACGGCAAGGGGGGTCAACTGCCCAGCTTCGCCTCCATGAGGCTCTGCCTGTGGTGACTGACTTATCCACATAAATAAAGCTTAGACTAAAGTTCAATGTTATTTCACCATCCCTATCTCGGTGTTCCAAGTTCACTCGTAATCCAAGTTGAACTCAAAGGTGTGGTATCTGTTTATTTATATCTCTTTCTTGAACAATATGACCCATCCAAGTTGACATGGTCCAACTCTAAAGTGTCAAAGATAAGGTCTTTTTCCCTTGTTCTAGAGTCTTCTCTCCAATGTAACATATATTGCTCGTCGGGGCTAGTGAATACACAAGCTTTGTAGTTCATAACATGGTAATAGAGCCCAATTTGTACTTTGTTCCTCCTTGATCCTAAGCATAGCTACAGAATCACCTCCGCTCACTACCCTCTTTGCTCTCAGGGGTGGCCATCACTTAGCCATCAATGCAATTTTAATAGTACTAGTAGTGGCTGCTGCTGCTGCTGCAAGCTCACCACCATGCATTGAGCTGTCTTTCTTGAGCTATAGATCGAGTGTTGCCACTTTAATCCAGGCCTTAGTCAGACCGGAGGCTCGAATCAGCCTCAGATCAAGGCAACCACCCCTCCATATCAGCCTCCTTCAGTGTCAACACACTGCTCCATGCAGGAAGCGCCCCATCCGCACGCCAATCCACACACCTCCACGCATTCGGATCTAACCTGCCATGGCCCCTCGGCATTGCATCATGCCATGCTTTCGCGCCCTAAGCAGTGTGTTGCACCTCTATGGCCCTGCATGCTGCATCGCCCTTCAATTGCAGCTTTGTCACCTCATCAAGCTCCAACTCCTGCTGGCATCTTACAGATTCTTCACCACACAGCTGTTAGTCCCCTGCTGGCCTGATGGCCAAACCACGATGGCAGGCTCAAGGAGTCTCCCTATATGCAATGGGTGAGGGCCTCTACCCATGGCACAACCATCACCTTCTCCAGGTTGCCCGAAGACTCCATAACCGGGTGTTGGTTCAACATTGCGGCCAGCCCTCCACTACTTGACTTCTTGTAAAGACAAGCCTTTGTTGGCTGTGCAATAGTTGGGAAACATTGGTGTCTACTGGGGCGTTATTGGGCTTCATTTTGAGCTAACATAATGGTTTTGCAATTGCTGCTACCTTGTTTTTGTTGTTGTTGTTGCTAGCTACTGCCTACTTAGTATCCTAGCCCTACTGTTGTAACTAAGTCTTGTTGCGTCCATCCAAGTCTGCTGGTCCTCTCCTTGAGTTTGTGTGTGCCGAGCGAGAAAACAAATTTCCATCGCCAAGTTGATTGAGTCTCATCACATGGCTACAACAACATTCTTCTTTGTCGCTGGTTCCGTTATCGGGACCTTTCACATTGGTCCCGGACCAGCACGCTCCTCTATGCATACGATGGTCTCTCTTCTTTCAGTACATCGAATCCCCACGTGTGACCCTCTTGTTGATGTTGGATGTATATTTGAGCCATGTGTTTCTTTACTCCTTCACATGTCTTGCAACAAAACCCTTCTCTGTTGTTGGTTCCATTAGCGGCACCTTCCACGTTTTCTTGGGACCACCATCCCTTTTCTGCATGCGAAGGATGTTCTCTTCTACACATTTTTTGGACCCCTGAGCATGACCCTACCATTTGATTCATAGGGAGCCATGTGTCTCCTTCCACCCCCATCAGCTTGACTCGACATATCTTTCTGTGTCATCTTCTCACCCTCCCTCATGTTGTTTTTGCCACTCTTCTCATGGCTACTACCATGACTTCGGGTAGAATGTGGAAGAAAGCACAACAGATCTAAAAAGAACAAACCAAGACGATAACATGTTGTCGGATTTGGATGTATTGTTTAATGCTTATCACTGTTGTAATGTGTCATACTCTCTTCAAATGAAACATTATTGTCTATGCCTTGCATAGTTGCATTTGACGAAGGGAGGGGGCTTATAAGGTAAAAAGGTCTTTTCACCTTCTTCTTGAGTCTTCTATCCTATGTAGCATATATTGCCCTTCAGGCTGTATGTCTAAAACTAAAATTGAATGAGGTGTACAGAACTGTAAACAAGTTATCTTTCAATAATTTGCTGCGTCCAATGGTACCTATTGCATGATGCAAGCATTTTTGTCAGCACATCACATTCAACAATGCAGAAGTTAATATTAGATTCACGCTAGCTATGCCACATGGGGCATGTATGATCCACTCTGGACATCTTGGTACCAATAATTTAACAATTTAGCCAGTTTATAAGATAGTTTGGGGAAAGTTATGATTAGAAACATTAAAAAAGACAACTCTTAATTGTAAAACAAGCAGGTATAAAGCTTAGGTACTGTAAAAGTTCTGACATGACCATTAAAACCTAGAAGGTGATTCTTTCTCCAACCACTAAGTTTTGATCTTAGCGGTACTGAAGGCGATTCTTGTCATATGTCCCCCATGAACCAGATTCAGGAGGATGCAAAGGACCTTTCTCAGAAACCCCCTGGTAATACAAATACAATAGAAGGTTAAAGATAAAATAAGGAACTATCCATAGAGTTAATAGGGGAACAATTTAATGGTCACATATGCTATCTTTTAGGAGATCATACCGCATTGATATTGTAACTATCTTCATATGGGTTCTTAGTGAAGGTCACTTCAGGACTCCCCATCTGCATCCCATATGTTCCACCTAAAATGTTACATAGAAGTAATAGCATAAGAATTCTGCCTTATACTAAAGAAATAAAAAATGACAAGTATAAACCATCAACAATACTGACAAGATAAATACTGTTTCAGGAAGTTGACTTTGAAGAAAATCACTGTCCATTTTAAATTTCAAATGATTCAGTCTTAACAAATGATTTAAGCATTCATTGTTGATGAGGAAGATTCCTGAGTTTTGTACACGCGAGTGATGAACAAGGCAACCACCTAGCTATCTAGGCAGCATCATCTTGCCTAGCCACCTAGCCTGCCAAAGTGGTGATCAAACCATGCCTAGTCCTGCCTAATCCCAATTCAGTGATAACACTGGTCTGCCTCCAGATTAGCACCTAGGGCAACACTGATTATGGCATGCTAACACATCAATTTCCACCGTTCTTGTTGCCCCATTAAACAACACTAATTGTTGAGTAAACCATATCAAGGCATCAAGGCCAATGATGGAAAGTATTAAACTGTCTAGTCATAGATTCTGCATGTCTTGGGGTATGCTAAATCAAGATCAGCATAAAAGAATAGCCATGCACATAATATACATTTTAGAGCAACAGATAATTCGCAACATATAGAAAGACTATGCTTGCTTCTATACATTTGGACATGTACAAAAATAACACAGTAAAAGTATTGTTTATTTTGACTATCGTATCCAGTGCAGTGCTGTCAACAAACTAACAGGGCTCAGTAAGCACACAGTTGAGTAATTTCTGCCCAAGAATATGAACCTAAGCCATCAATGTATATTATTTAAAACATATACCATATGTATCCTTTATCAATTAACAAATATAATTCCAACGTCTACAAGGTACATCTCCCATAAGATTAGTAGAAACCAGTAGCCACTAGCCACAAATGTTGGCCTTGCGATACAGAAGTTTCCTATTTTCCCAAATGATAGTTTACAAAGTTGTAAGGGCATGAAGGAGTGCTAATAATGATTCAGGCTGCATACAAGTGTTTTTGGATATGGAGGTATTACATCACTGAGTGTATACTTTGTCTCATTTTCAATGTGATAATTTTTACACGCCAACAAGCAGCTGGGCATGTTTCGGGCAAATTTGTTCTGCTCTTTTGTGCTATTCTGCAACCTTTGCCAATTGCAGCAAGATCCAATTGTAGGCTGTATCTTCAAAATGAATGCGTCCACAAAGGTATAATAGCCAACACCATGGTTTTTAAGGCGGCAAGGCGAGACGTGGCGAGCCACTCATTTGAGTCGATTAGGCGAAGGCGAGGCGAGGCAAGGCGACGCCTTACCATTCTAAGAAATAGGAAAATACCAGCAGGGAATAGGCAAGAAAAAGAGAAAAAAGGAAAAAGAAAACCCAGAAAAGGAAAATACCAGCAGGGAATAGGCAGCCCACGAGTGCGTCCTTATCCCTTCTCAGGTCATCTCTCATCTCACGGATGCAGATGCAGCGCCGCCGCACGCATCCCTCCTTCGCGCAGGCGCAGCGCTGCCACATCTCCCTCCTTCACGCAAGCACAGCGCCACCGCATCTCCTCTCATGGCTCACGCAGGTACAGCGCCGCCCTCACTCCCTTGCGCTGCTCTTGGCTGCGTGCGCTCAGCCTGCCCTCCGCTCCTTCCCTACCTCTTGCTGCTGCTCTCTCAGATCCCCATCTCGATCAACCACCGCCTCCGCCGCAGATGACCCAGGCGGCGCCGGATTTGGTGGGGATGAGCGAGGAGGTGGCTGCACGGCCTCTATCGTTTTCCTCTGCTTTTGGCTAGGCGTCGGGGACGCCTTACTCCCTGCGAACGCCTTGTCACCTAGGCGACGCCTTAAAAACCATGGCCAACACAGGTATTAAAAAAAAAAACTTCGAAAGCCACTGCAAATCTGTAATGCCAAAAGGGGACATGGTCCAGTTTGTAAAACACCAAACTTTTGTAACTTGTATGCTCTAGAGTAGCTTTTCATTAGATCTTCTATAACTAGATTTCACACCTCAAATAGTTAGTATTTTAAGAAAGAAAAGCTGAAGATTGATCAAAAGTAAAGACTCCTAGACAAGAATAAGAACAGATACAGTTGATATGCACAAAATTGTTGTGCCCAAAATAGCAAAAAGGAGTCACAACCTGATGTCCTACTCCTATAACCATGGTATAGTGATTGTAATAGTCCAAAGAGATACAGAAATATGCACAGTTCAGTCAAACAAACAGAATTATCTACAATAGTACAGCCTCCTGCCAATGAGAGGAGGGATTGTGTGCAACAAGGATAAGAATATTTACAGTCTCGTCAAGCAATTAGTCCTAACATCATACCTGTGACCCATGGTCTAACTTCAAATTTTAATAATTCGCCTCGCATCTGTTCAATCTCTTGTGCCATAGAAAGCAGATTCTTCTCCATTGCCTTCCTTTGTTCCAGCAATTCCAAATTCCCCTTCTGCTCTAACCCGCAAGCAGTCCTGCAGAAGACAAATCAATGATCTTACAATACAAGCATATAAATATGAAAAATACTAACTGGTGCACCCAAAAATCAAATGGAGCAAACGAAACTGCAGAAGTACCTCACGTGAATAAGTTCCTGTTGCAGACCATCAAGTTCTGTTTTCAGCATGGGTAGCTGCTGTTGAATGGATTGTTCCCTGTTCAGCTCCTCCATGAGAGATGCAGCCTCTGCAGATAGTTCTTTCCTAGCGGTAATGAGCTTGTCAATCTCACCACGGAGCTGCCTGACCTCATCACGCAAGTGCTCACTTGCTCCAAGTTCAGCTTCAAGCTTCCTCCTCTTGTCCACAAGCTTACTGATATAACTTTCTTTCTCAGTGCTAATGTCTGCAATGATCACGTTCAAGTGGCGGACCTCATCTTTTCCAGCTTGTATTTCCCTGCTTAACACTTCACGCTCCTCAGCCAGAGCACGGTTATGTGCCAAAAGCCTCCGGAGTTCGACTTCCTGTAACTCGAGATCATCCTCTAAGACAGCTGGGTGAGGGTGAGGAGCTGCCCTCATGCGTGGGCCTTCATGGATCTCAGGATAGGCCCTACGGTCATCAATCCCACGACTGCCAGGATAGGCCCTATGATCGGCCATACGAACACCAGGGTAGACCCTACGTTCATCAAGCAGACGGCTGTCATGATAGTCCCGGCGTTCGTGAGCCACACGGATGTCAGAGTAGCCCCTACGATCCCCAACCACAAGGACTTCTGGATAACCTCTGCCTCTGGGATTGTCAGCTAGAGGGACTTCATGGTACACCCTGCGATCATCAATCAATCGCCTTGTCAGGCGACCTCTTTCCGACATGATGCTTGGTGTCTTGGCATGAAAAAAACATCAAAAGAAAAAAAAATAGAGTTAATGGATCCATCATTACAGGAACATGAAGCCGGCATATGGACCAAATGATGTAACAGTGGTGGTTGATCTGACACTGCATAACACTGGTAAGACGAAGTTCATATATCCTTCCTATGGACCTAAAACAATACTCCGGTTAACACCAGGCATGCCTCGGGGCATGGCATCGCCAGGGGCGGAGGCGGACCCAGCAAAGGGACATGGGTGTACACATCTACACCAGAACCCGATAACTTTTCCAAAAACTATGAAGTTTGGAGGCATCAAATAGCCAAATAGCTTTAGGTTAGGGTTTGAGTTCTCGCCTTCGCACAGCAGGAAGGGAAGACAAGGGACGGGAATACCTAGTGGGTGCTCGTCGCCGGCGAAGATACTGACGAAGGCTTCAGCACCTGGCGTAGGGCGGCGCCGGCGCCGGCGGCCCACCAGTGGTCGGAGAGCGATAGGGGAGCGAAGCACCAGCCGTCGGAGAGCGAGGTCCCGTGCGAGAGAGACACAGAACCGTGAACGAAAGGGGATGCGGCGGACGGACGGCCCAGTGTTCGGCCCGGGGGGGAGCGCACACGGGCCTTCTCCTGGGCCGTTCTTTTTCAGACGGTTCTTTTGAAATTTCTTTTTTTTTCCTCTTTCTCTCTCTTTTATTTTGTATTCTTCGCAATTTCATATCTATTCTGTCCATAGGCCCTATCAATGATGACTAGTACAATATTAGTTATAAATAATAGAAACAATAATAATATTATTTAGTACATTGTAAACAAGGAAGTGGAATTTTTTAATATTTTGTTAAGGTTGATCATTTTCTTATTAAAGAAGAAACCAGTTCCACTAGAACGTAGGACATTTTCACAAACCTGTTCTTTGTATATCTATAAAAAAAATTAATAGAAACAATTTTCTCTTTATGACAATTTAAAAGTGAACATGAAATATTTTTTGCTAAATATGGAACAATGTTTTCCCACAAATCAATAAAATTGTTATGCTCAATAAAAAATAATATAGAGTAACTAAAATAATTTTTTAGGTGTTCCAACAAGGACTACTAAAGTGCACTGACACTTTGATATCTCATGAAAAAACTGTGTCTTTCTATCACTCTCTTTGCATTATGCAGTTTACTTTCTAAGATTTTTTTCCTAGAATAGGGGGTTAACATTTTTGTATGTTAGAATAGGCACACTTTGTACAACATTTGGCAAATTCAGCTAAACGATATGTTTAGATTCAATAAAAAATATTATAAAAGTCCAATTCAAACCACCTCTTAGAGCAACTCTAGCAATGTCCCAACTCTAGCAATGTCCCTATTTCAATCTAAAAAAGAAGAAGTGAGGAATTTGATGGTTTATTATTTCTAGTGGAGTATTTGAAAGGAAAGAAATCAATGAACCTTTCAGAGTATGAAGCTACAGCCACTTCATGTGGTCTCCTAGTCGAGGAGAATATTGATCTCTACAAGCAATTTCTTGAGCCAAATGTTATCTCTATCTCTACCTCTATAATACACCACTTCAAATTATCCTACAGTCACTAAACAAATCCACATCTACAGTCACAACCTAAACTACGTCCACCCCACAAAACGTACACAGATAAAGATCACATTAAAAACATGCGCACCGGATTAACTCTCACACCCATTCTCTCTCCTTACTCAACCACATCCGACGGTCCCGCTTGTTTGATGTGCCTTGCCCCCAATGACCGCCTGCGTTCCCGCCCCCAATGACGCGAGACCGTGGCACCCGTCTCATCCCACGCCTGTGACTCCCTCTCCTCCGCCGCCCCCACGCGCGCCATGCGCGCAACTCCCCTCTCCCCACCCTATCTATCACGTCGAGCGACTCCTCCTCCCGCCCCATCGCGGTGGCGGCGGCGGCTTTGGTGCTGCAGCAAAGCCCCCCTCCCCTCCCTCTCTCTCTCTCCTCTCTCTCCTAACTGGCGGCGGGCCCACCGAAAGGTGGCAACAGCGGCGTAGTGCTATGCGATGCGACCGTCGTCGGCCGTCGGCCGCCCTCACGTCTGGCAAGACTCCTCGCCCACATCCCCACTCCACCCCACAAGAAGATGGTCGAGGTGATGGCGAAGTGCCACCGGTGTCGATCGGGACAATGCTGCCCCGACGACGGGGCGCCTTTCACCATTGCGGCGATCGACACGCCGCGGGTTCCACCATTGACGGAGTGGTTGTGATGCAGAGGTGGTTCCATGGCGGAGTTCCCCAACGTCCGCCGGGCCTCCACGCTCTCCGGGTGTGAGAGATCCACTCTCTACCTCCTCTCTGGATCTACGTTGGATCTAGCATTTCACCCAATTTGAGCAGTAGCAATTGCGTGCGGTCATGTTTAAATTAATCATGTTTTGCTTTTGGATGCAACTTAGGTGTATCTTGGAGGTATGTGATTTAGAATTGGGTCGAGTTGGAAAATTTTTTGGTATCAAAGCCAAACCTTTGGTTGGCTTTTTAGATTTGGTTTGATTCGGATATATAGATTAGTTATTGTGTCGAGACATTATTGGAATCTTTTTAGACTATTGTTGGAACGGATTAATCACCTACTTTTTTGTGTTCTACACTACCACTAATTTTTTTTGTTTGCTCGAGATATGAGACCATTATTGCTCAGATATATTACTTAGATATACAAACCATCGAGCTTCTCCTAATGCACGAAGAAAAGTTCTACACTACAACTATTTACTAGAATATCATCGGTTAAGGTCCTCCAGGTGTCTTAATATTTAGGAACCAATACAAATCGAGCTTCTCCTAATGCCTGAAGAAAAGACTATCTTGGATCAGCACGAGACCCCTAATTTATTAGAATATCATCAGTTAAGGTCCTCCAGGTGTCTTAATATTTAGGAACCATCTTGTTGCAAACTTCTCAAAAAATACAATGATGCAATGTCATCTATCATGTTGTCTTTCAATGGAAATGCTTGGTCTATTCACTATCACTCACAGAATTTTATGCACTATGTTTTTGAAGGAACAAGCTGGAGTTGGTATGATTGCCTATTGGAGTCTCCCTGTGCGTCCACCGTCAGATCACAAATAAATTGAATTCATAGATGGGTGCGTATGATATCGAGGATGCAATGGCATGGAAAAAAGATAGAACTCATCATTGATTAGGTGTAGTATAAATCTAGGTTGTACCTGTTTTCCCTCCATGCTTATTTATCAAAGTTTATTTTTATTATTTTGGTTGTTCAAGCCTAATTATTTGAAAAAAATATTATTTTTAGTTGTGCAAGCAAGTAGAGCCGAGCAGCACGTGTTGTGAGTTTCAGCACAACAATAGATCGGTGAAGCCATCGATTCACCATTTTCAGGTGATTTGTGGCTTTCAATAGATGAATTGTTAAGATATGGTCTTCAAGTAATTAATCCAAGCAATAAATATCAATTGTGCTCTCTTATTTACATACACAGTTTGACCTGGAAAGTGCCTATGTAATGTCTGGCTTGCTAAGAGTAGCTTTCCACCTCCTGTTAAATACAAACACATGTATTGCTTCCGCTAAATAGCTCTGACTATGGGCATTTACTGGCACTGCTATATTTTGCTAAATTATTTGCACTTCAAGACTTCAGTAATGTTGCTAGATACCTTTGTTTTACATGAATGAAAATGGATTGGATTATGTGTGGAGCTCTATGGTTTTTAATATGAAGATGGCTTACCAGAACTTTTTAGCTCATAATATAGCTCATCAATGTCATTTTGTGGTTTTGAACATTTTGCTCATCGATATCTTCTTTGGTCCTCATTAGTGATGATTGGGCTGAATGGACATGCCAAGAGGGAGTAGAATTTCTTCATGCACTGCAGCAAGTAAGAAAAGTAAGAGGCATGTATTCTGGACCTCGGACGCGGAGAAGTAGCGACGTCTTTCTCCATCATCCAAGAAGCATCTTCGCCTTCTCTATCCACCGTGCACCAAATTGAGCCAACCCTCAGTAGCCATATGATGAAGCTGCCACCCTTTACAAGGTAAAATCACTAATCGGACTATCCTTTGTGATGTTATTACTTGTGTGATGATGATCTGTTTTGCTTGGTCGTCTAGCTTAATCGATTCTCGTTAAACCGCCTATCGAAAGATCATATCTGTCAATTTGATTTTTTTTTTAATTCCCTGTGCATCATTCAAAGTGAAAACCAGTAAGATGACACTCCATATACTATGTGTCAAGATTGTTTTCTAAATCATGTTTTTTGGTCATTTCCTTAGCAACAATACACAGGTTGTTATTGAACCCTCAAGAGAATTTGAAGGTCGGTACAAACTACAAAGAGACCAGGCCCCAACAAAACTGCAAAATATGTCTCTGAATATACACTACACGTATATCTTTGAATATATATCTCTTTATAGATATAGAAGTAATGTTATTGGATCATGGATTTGCACAAAGAGAAAGAGTAATACATTTTTAGGTTGTGGATGATGTTAACCATCCAGCAATAAAAATAGTATGTTCAAAATGTATCTAAAAGAAATTGCACGTGCTGGTTCTTACAAGTTCCATTTGTTCCAGTTATGCAATCCATTTGTGAGTAAATATTAGTCTGCTACCACATGGTTATATACAATTGTGTGAGACTTAAACTATGGAAAAATATCGTTATTTGATTGTTTTCATATACATCTCTGAAATAAAACTATACGTTATTAACACGGGCACTATACTAGCAACCTACTAGATGCACCTTTGTGGATTTCTAGATCGTAGTTGTTTCCCTTTGTAGTTTGTAGTGGGTCAGGTAGTATGGGAGCACGGGGTTGGGCTCTCCGATCTCACATAGAGTGGTTCTCTTCCTATATCTTATTCTTTCTTTTATTAGGTTTTTATATATTCTTTTCTTCTAATTAATTCACTTGGTAGTTCTATTGCCGACGCTTGAAGAAAAAGTTCCTATGTGAGCCATGACAATGAAACCCATGACCCATCCCACATGCCAGTTACGATAAAAGGCAAAGTGATGTCTGTGTAAATCTCATCAAATAAACTTAAATGCTACTCGGTCTATCGACCATGGGTCCCACCAGCAAGGCGCCCATTATATATTAAGTCAAAAAAATTAATCTAGTTATTATCACATGTATTTATCAATAATGATCTATTTGTATTTTATTTTCATGTTTCTGTACTTCCTGTATTTTGTATTCCTCCATTCTAAACAGCTCTCTCAATCACCTTATATATTTTTTTTCTATAATATTTTGTTTTTTTTATCAAAGCTGTTTTTCTATTTTGTTGTTTTGCCATTTCACACCTACCTCTTTCCTACATTTTGTTTTCTTTCTTCTGTTTTTAATTACTTTTTTGTCCCAACACAAGCAAGGCCCTCTAGCGTTTTTGTTTGACCACGCGCCCGTCCAAACAAACTCCAAATCTCTACGCGTGGCCGACTCGAGCGCGCGTGATGAGGCGTCCCTGCGCCTGCGCGTTGCGATTTGCAAGTTGCCTGCCTGCTGCCTCTCCTCGCTCGCAGCTTTCGCATTATAAATTCAGCTGCCGGCATCGGCAGCCAGCACCACCAGCAGTTCTAGCTAGCTCCATCCAACTCGTACACAGCCTCTCTCTCTCTCTCTCTCTCTCTCTCTCTCTCCATCCTCTCGCCTTTGATCGACAACTAGCGCAGCAGCAGTAGCATTTAGCAGTTCATCAACCGGGCACGGCGGCAGAGATGAGGCGCTGCGGCAGCACCTCCTCGCCGCTCGCGGCTGCTGCCCTGCTCCTCCTCCTCCTCCTCGTCGCCGGCTGCTTCCACTGCGCCGCCGCAGCTCGCCTCCTGCCGCCTTCTTCTGTCCCAATCCCAGCTCTGGTTCACCAAGGTACGACACGACTTCACTCAGCTCCTACGTAGCTGAACCTCTTTGCTGATATAGATCCTTCCTACCAGCGTCAGTTACCTTAGCTGCTCAATCTATATATCGTCACTGAACTGAACTTCTCGTCTGCAGCAGAGAATGGAGTCAAGGCTGCTGGTGCTGCAGACGGCGGCCTGGTGCTGCAGGAAGGTGGTGTGGGCAATGGTGACGAGATCTCCATTCCCGAGGTGAGGAGAAAAGCTACTGAATTCAGAACTTTTCGTTTGAGCCGTGCACAAGCTCATGCTCATCTTCTTCCATGCATGTGTCCTGCTTCTGCTTCTGCAGATGATGGGAGCAGAGTCGGAGGAGGAGGAGGAGGAGGAGGCTGGAGTGGCGTGCGAGGAGGGCAACGACGAGTGCATGCAGAGGCGGCTTCTCCACGACGCGCACCTCGACTACATCTACACGCAGCACAAGGGCAAGCCATGAGGAGGAGGATGCAGATGGGGGAGCTGCAGCTCCAGATCCTCATCTTGGTTGGTGTTGGGACAAAGTACATGCTGCAAATTAAGTTGACACACGGGAATCTCATCTCATCTACTAGTACATGCATCGATAATCCACCTTCTGCGTGCATGCTATAAATCTAGCTTGTAATTTCTGTCACTGTGCTTAGCATCATCCGTGATCCATATCATTTAGGGCTAGCATATGCGTGTGTCAGTCAGTCACCTCGTCTGTACATCTCCTTGTCTGTCTGATACATACATGTATGGTATTGGTAACCACCAGTTTCTTCAAGTTTTCTGCTTGGTATCCTCTCTCTCTCTTTCTCAGTGTAAGATTGGGAAGTGCATGCGTCGTGAGGCTGCACTGCACTTGTTCATATATATATATATGTGCCATATGCCATAAGAGAGTGTTTCCCTATACCTAATGCATGTTTGCCTTGCTCTACTAATACCTTGGTTTGGTTGGCGTCTGTGATCGATATCAAGTTGCCTACAAACTTGTATGGCCGTGATTTTCCTGTTCTTAGTTAAAAGCTACTTACCCTAGTATATATAAATAATAATAATGTAACTAAAACACAGTTGCAACTGGTGTAGTATGGCTGAATGAATATCATGTCTGTCTCGCTGTCTGACTTTGGGTTTGTGACCGGCCGGACCTCTGTCTGATTCCCTGATGAGTTCCCCTAATCTCCTTAGTCCAAGAGAACAACACACATTTGTTTATTTGGTCCAAGAAAAAACAAATGTTTTGGTCGATATATGAGCAGCTACAGCAGTAAACTAGTATGGGCTTCCATCTGCTCTGCTCTGCTCCCCGAGATTCCACATGATGGTCGGAGCGCGCTGGCCGGCCTGGCCTGGCCTGGCTCATAAAAAGTCAAACGCCATGCATGGCTCCGTGCAGCTACAGCTCATCATTTTCATATGTCTGAGTCTGAGGCTCTCTCTCAGCTGCTCCGGCAAAGAGAGACATGCATGCAAAGATTCGATGCTCCGATCCTCCTCAGATTTTCCCCACATGCGCGAGCCATGGCAATGATTCACAATTTCACACACTGAAACTGACACAAGCACTAGCTAGCTAGTGCTAGTATCTGTATGTTGCATCGCGTATGTATATACTTCTTCAGATGAATGAATAGTGCATAAGACAATCTGCCGTCTGCATAACGCAGGGAAAACAACAAGCCAGCAAGTAGCATTCGTTTCTGAATTATTATGTTATGAATGGAAGGAACTCGAGCCAGGAAGGAAAGGGATTGATGAGAAGCCAACAGTTTGCATGCATATAGTAGCATACAAAAATACTCTACCAAGCTTCTCTCCTTTTCACAAAGATGCTGTGGTATCCGTGAAAGCCCTATCGAGCTATGAGCAGTCAAAACTCAAAAATGATACATATATACGAAAGTGAAGCACCATGTGCCAGCACCTACCAAGGCTGCTGCTGAGCGCGCAAATATATTCCATTTCCGGACAGTCCACTTGCTCGATGTATCACCCTAAAATTTGTAATATTTTTAAAATAGGAGAAATGATTAATTATGTATTTTTGTTAGTATTTGAATTTAGGAAAATAATAATTTTGTTAAAAATAAAATAAAATATAGGTATAAATACATGATGGTGCATTCATGTCGCTGCATATTATTTTGTGTTACTTGGTTTGAAGTCGGATTTTAAATTGAGTTGGATTTGCATTTTGAAATTGCTTTGGAAAAAATAAAAAAAAACGAATTTCCCTTCTTTCCCCTTTCCCCGCTTTCGGCCTGTAGGCCTGCTCCCGCGCCCGTTCCATTTTTCCCCGCCGGCCCACTCGCGCCCCGCTCCTTCCACGCTGACCCAGTTCGGCTTACTTCCCACGGGCCGTCCTTCTCCCTGCATGGGCCTACACTCCCACGGCCAGCGAGCGTCGGCCCAACTTTGCCGCCAGCAAGGCCGCATCGCGCCCCTCCTTTCCTCCCTCTCGCTGACGGTCCGGGCCCACTCATCAGGGCATCTCCTTCCTCCGCGCCGTGTCCACCTCGGACACCACCACGCCGACGCCGTCCGTGTCTGGCTTCGCTACGCCGCGGGTGCCGTGCCGCCCAAGCTCCCGTGCCTCATAAATACCACTCGAGCCTGCGCCGCCTCCCTATCTCGCCTTGCAGCAAGAATTTGCCCTCACATCGAGCTCGCATCCGCCTAGCCCTAGCACCGCCACCGTTGACGGAGTCGTGCAGCCGCCGTGCGCCTTTGTCGCTTCCTTTCACGTTTCTTTCGGCGTTGGTGAGTTCCCCATCCTCTCCTCTCTTCGGGCTCTCTCCGTTCGAAAAACCGTGCTCTATAGGCCCTAATCCAAGAACTCCGGCGAGCTTTCTTTGTCCGGCCATGGCGCCGCCGCCATTCACCTCGTCGCCGGCCGCCTACACCCGCCCGATCTGATCTCAGCCACCCGCTTCTAACCCGACGGCCCATATCGAAGGAAACCCCTTCGCTAGCGTTTTTGTAAAAACCTCCTTACAATTAATCGGATCTTAACCCGTAGTCCATAGCATCTTTTCAGACTTTGTTTTCTTCTTTTGAAAGCATACTTTGTTTCGGTTATATCTAAAATACGTTTTCAGCAATTTACAGTTTTGCCACTAGATTTGTTTTAGCCATAAAATCTCCGTTTTAACTCCGATTTGATCCGTTCAAGTTGCGTTAGGTTCGTAATTCCATAATCTACATGTTTATACTGCTGTTAAGTAAGTTTTCAACTTTTAAAATTTGAGGTTAGATTTAATCTATTATTTTACTAAAGAAAATCTTGTTTAATTCATAACTTCTTTATTTTAGCTTCGATTTTTTTGTGATCTTCGCGTCTGTGTGTTCATAGCAAGACATAGATTCGTTTTCCAAACTTTTTATCTTGATTTTATGTTGTTGGTGTACTGTTCTAATCTATAGCTTTTGGTTGCTATGCATGATTGCTTCTGGATGCTTGTATGTTGCTATGATTATCGGGTATAGACGGTGAGCAATTTGTGGGAGATCAAGGGTACTACTTTGACAAGTAGGATCAGTAGGAGTACTTTGTTCAAGGCAAGTATAGCATGGGATCATCCTTGTTTCCTATTTATTTTAATACATTAAATTCATGTTGCATGTGTCACCTTGGTAGGGATTTCCTAGAATTAAACTTTTATCTTGTCACCTACGGGATATGCATTGGGTAGCTTTGCTAGTGCTCAATTAAACCATGATCTTGTAACTTGACTAATGGTATATACAATAAACATTAAATTTTGACTTTTTAGCAACATGGAAACAGGGGGCTGGAGTATTTAGCTACTTTCTAAATGCTTTAGATTCCTCTCCCTAAGGACTTATCTGTAAGTGATCATCCGGGACTTACAGTACAATTGTGAGGGCTATATGGCTCTGACTTTAGCTCAGCATGAGGACCTTTTCTAGCTTGTTAGTGGTTACATTCATTGACATAAGAATGGCTTGACGAATCGGGTATAGGACAACCTCTACTCTTATGTGTATAGCCGCGATGGAATTGTTCCATTCGACAGAGGGTTCCTATATCTGTTTGCTGAGTGAATCTAATTGCCCTAACTTGTTAGACGAACCTTTGAAAGGCTTCATAGTGACCCCTGACTGCTCACCTTGTAAGTATTTTGGGAGTAATTAACCCGGGCATATGGGTATCACGACTCACAGTAAAAGTGTACAACCTCTGCAGAATGTAAAACTGGTATATCAGCCGTGCTCACGGTCACGAGCGGTCTTGGAATATTTACGGAATAGATGAACACTAAGAATTACCTATTTATGTTATTCATTATCTATGTTTACATTGACCGTGTGTTTTGCATTGGGAATTGAAACAACTTGTTGCTACTCTTAAGCTAAAAATTATGACAACTAAAAGCTGAATGTTGTTAAACTTGTGTCAAGCCTTTTGAGCCTCATAAACCCCATGTTACACTTGTTGAGTACGACATGTACTTACGCTTGTTTATTTTCATTACTTGGATAAAAATACCGGATGGGTAACAGATGGTTATGGTTATGACGATTTCCCTGAGGATTACTAGACTTGTGGTCAACCAGTTGACGTCCCTGTGATATGGAGCTTCCGCGAGAGATCTTTTTCTTATACTTCCGCTACATTTATGTGAAGACTCTGTCTTAATCGTGATGTAATAAACACTTGTGATGATACTATTTATAATTTATCGGCTTATGTATGTGACTGATATCTAGACATACATAAGATTTTACATTCTATTTTATTCTTAAAATCGGGTGCGACACTTGCTTGGGTACCAACCAACTCCTCTCTGCTTGCTACTCCGTCCTTACAAAAGAGAAGTAGCTAGCTAGTGCGATCACTTGTTTACATGAAATCCATGGAATGCATGCGTCTGGTTTGTGCAGGCCGAGTGGCCAATGCCCAATAGTGCCCACCCCATTATCTCGTGCATTTATCTGAGACGATGCAGCTAGCTAAGCACACTGCACACATTGAGTGATTGATCCGGATCCATCAGTGCTGCTCCTGCTGCTGCTAGGCTGAATGATCTCAGCATCCCCTGTTTCTGGTACTAGTTTAGAGCAGCAGTACAGGCTGTAGTGCGCAGGGTTGGGGTTTTATTGGTTAAAGCAGCATAACATTGCACTAGATGTTGTTGTAGATTATGGTATTTGACAACAAGCAACAAGCAAGCGAGCAGGACACTTTGCAGCCGTTGCTTCTTTTCCGGCAGGCCGTGGGTGAGTGAGTGAGTGTGAACAAGCAAAGGGGTCGGCCACTTGCAAAGCTGCCATTGGAGCGCCCACTTTTTGCCCGCACGCACAACGGCACAACACCATCTCTACTATTATTCTCTCTTCTCTCAGTCGGATATCCACTCGTGCACGCAGATAGATAGTTCTTGCACACAGTACACTGCTGTGCCTGTAGATATGCAATGTGTCTCTGCAGGAGAAGTTCATCGG